ACTCCCAGAATTCCCCAGCCAGCATGGGGAATTCTGGGAGTTGAAGTCCACACTTCTTAAAGGTGCCAAGTTTGAAAAAACACTGCTTTAGGGGAAGAGTGACTGAAACTGACAGAGAGGGAAACTGGCAGGAGTAAGAAAAGCAGAGATCATCATCTTTGGTTATCTTCTGATCTCTGCAGTTAAGGAAAAACAGGCTGCTGAATCTTGAAGGCACATTTCAGAATAGGGTTAAACTGGGTTAATGCAAAAACTCCTCCTAGACTTCTTCCAATAGAACAGTGGAGATTTGTGCTCTCTACCTTGTTGGAAATCTGGAGAGAAGTTGGTGTCAGAACAGAAAGCTTGGGGAGGAATGTTCATGAGCTAAACTCCAAAAACAAAGTGCTAATGGAGAAGGAAAACGTTGGAGCATCAGTGGCTGTGGTGGAGGCAGACTGGTGACCAGACCTGGACTTGTAGGTCTGTACTTCCCCACATTCCCAAAACACACCTCAGTCACACCCAAAAGAGGCCATCTGACTTCACTTCCAAGATAACAGGTAACAAAGCATCACAGATGTTACACAACTTGAAGTTGTATTTGGATGGTGTTGGAATAAGGAGAAAGTACCTCTTGAATAAGATTCAGATAAGGATCTCAAAGCTTTCTCATTCATGTCCTGGGGATGAGATGAAGGCAACCTCATGGCATAAGGGGGAAAATTGAGTTGCCAGAGCATGACTGGGCCATAGTTACGTACAACTGAGGATAGGGCCAAAGAAATCTAATACTGATAATTTTTCAAACACCAGCCTCCATCTCTGATGATACAAGTAGCAAGAAAGACTTTTTTTTTTTTTAACTTTAAAAAGAATACTCAAAATTTCATTAGATCTTGGTGATTTCTCTCTCAAGAAACCTCACATGTTTTCATCCATTTTCATTTTTTAAGAAGTGCTTCTTCTGGTTTAGTTTTGGAAGCTCACAGACACCCTATGGGAATATTGTGGGTGCAATGCTGTTGACCCTGAGATGAAAGTAAATTTCACTAAATATTTCAGAGTAAACATAAGATTACCTTCAGTATACAGTAGAAATGCTCTCAACCCAAATACTCTGCTCTGAAAACGAGTTGCTCAAGCAAATATGTCTTATTTCCCAACCATTTCCATTCTGGAAGAAACTTCTCCTGCCTGGAGCTTCCCCAATGCTATTTGGTCCATGATTCTCATTTTGCCCAGCCCAATGTTTCTCATGTCAGCTCCACCCCTTCCCAAGATTACCTGCTCATAGCCATAAGACCTCTGTTGCTGCGCAGCTGGCCCAGTTTGTGAAGCTCTGTAGCTTCCATACTGTTGGCCCTGTCCTTGTTGGTAACTAGAATACTGTGATGAAGTTCCTTGGGCAGGACCTGGAAAAAAAAAACAGCAGAAGTCTTGGCAAGAGTTCAAAAGACAGAGATCAAATCCCAGCTTGTGGGCACTTTGGCTTGCTGGTTTCCTGTGAGCAGATTTTTCATATTTAGCAATCAGGAAGCGATCAGGGACTTAGCAGAAGGAAATGGGCAGTCTTTGATGGCCTGGAATTTCTCTCCAACCTTTGAAATAGGGTGAGTGTAGGGTCAGAGAGAGGACAGTTGAGAAAAAGTAGAACTTTTTAGTTGAAGCTGTAAAAGTGAAGCACCCTTCACTTAGCAGGAAACAAAGCAGAGGCAAAGTTCGTTTATACTTATTCTTCTATTGCAAAGAAAACCACTGGGGCATGTCTATGGAGTCCCCAAAAGTTATGCCTGACTTGAAGCCTTCTTCCAAATTTAAAAATCTTAGAAATCCCAGTCTGTTGTCCAATGCAACAATTTCCAGAAGACAGCAGTATATAATCTGTTGCTGTAGGTCTAAAAAAGAATCTTGGGTACTCTCAAAGAAACAGACGTAGGTTATGAAAGAACATAGTACATCTGTACAGCTTCAAAATAACCCTTTTGCTCCAAGTCTGCTTTATATTGACCAGATGACTGTTGTCTTTATTATACTGTTGTCATTGTAATTATACATCATACAAGGCAACGCTTCCAGAATTCTCAGCTAGTATGCATCTTGGCTAGGAGTTTTGGAAATGTTAGTACCTCAAGAGCAGCATAAAGGAGAAGGCAGCCTTCACATGCTGCTTCTGAGGTTCTCCATGACTTAATGGATCTCTGAGTAGAATGCCTGGGTGGTACCTCCTCAGATTCTGAAACTAGAGGGGAGATCCTGATGGATTGACAGGCTGTATCTAGGGAACCATCAGGGTGTTGGCCAGCTGAGACCATTCCTAATGCCTTAGACTTAGTGCAGGTGGATGCTGTCTCATATAATAGCCAATTAGAGTCTGGCCTTGATTGAGGGCCAAGGCCTAAAACAACACAATTAAAAACACTAAGCAGGGGAAAACTATGTATCTCCTCAAGAGGAAAAGGTGTAAAGTACACCAAGCTAGAACTCTTGCTCCTTAGGAGCATCTCCTGGGCCTCCCTCCTTGTTGGAAATAACTCTCCTGCTTCCCGACCTGCCTTTCTTCAGCTCCTAGTACCTCCTGTAGAGCCGTCCCTGGCTTTTGATTACTGACCTGGATTTCAGCTCTGGAATAATGGACTTTCTACTCAGCTCCTCAAGCTGTCTGCCCTTCTGGCTCTTTCCATAGACCTGACATACTTTTTGTTCCATTTGAGAGACAAGAGCCCTCTGACGGGTCTCGTTTTGCATGAAAGCCTCTGTCTCAGTCACAACCATTAGCTCGCGTGTTAACTCTCTTTATGTACTGAACTCATTTACAGCCAGGCTAATTACAGCAGTTAGAACCAATGTGCTAATTTACTTGTGTCTGGTCACCCGCTCAGCCTTGAACTAAAAGCACAGTGACTGGAGTGTTCGATTTAGTCTAGACTGGTGTGGAAATCTCCACTCAGTTACCAATCTTACTGGGTAACCTGCAAGCCAGTTGTGATGGGATAAACCATGGGTTCTTGAGTACATCACCACTGGGTGGTGCCAGGCCCAGCCCAAGAACAACGATGAGGCAGTCCAGTCCAGTATAGTTCCTTTATTAGCTTACGCCCTAAAGACAGAAGCTCGCCAGCTATGCTAAAGCAACTAGTGGATATACCCCGTGAGACTCTAGGGAGGGGCTAGCCTAAGCCTCTTCTTCTTCTCATGGTCTTG